GGATGTCTTATTTTTCCATGAAGAAGAATATGGTACACATTTATTGTTTATTGTTTTATTAAAAGATTACTCACACTTTCTGTCTGCTCCCGCTGCACTGCGGCCAACAGTGAGCTGTGCAGCGGCACCCGCCGCTACGGTCCAGAGTCCAGAGTTACGGTACTTTTGGGGGGCCTTATTTTCGGGGAGGCCTATTTTCGGGGGGATGCCTTCTATTTCAGCAAGAGGCAAAACTGTAAGTAGGTCTTATTTGGGGGGATGTCTGACGTTCAGAGAAACAGAGCAGTCTAATGGTCTAGAGGACAGAGCCTCTTGAGGTCATCAAATGGAACACAAGGAAGACTACAGATATGCTTTCTAAAAGTACTGCTTTAAAAAATGGTTTTGCCATTTGCCCTTCAGAGATACAATTGGTAGACATATAGAAATTATATCCCATGCTCTGCCAAATGTCAGACAACATAGTTATAATTTCTGAATAACTAAGTCCTTCCCATTGTACCTACATATTTTAGAACAATATACATGTATCTTCTAAGTATATTCACTGGTCGACACATATGAACTTCATCAAATAGAACATACGAGAATCAAATCAATTACATCTGTGGAAGGAGACAATGGAGACATTCAATATCATCGGTCAGAACAAGTCCAGGGACTGGCTGCTGAGCAGATCATCAATTGCTTTTATTCAAGTTCAAGTAGAAGCAAATTAAAACACAAACACCAAAGTACAGCCTTGTTTACGTACCACCTGACTCTAGAGAACATCTCAAAATAGAGTGGATGCACTGAGCATGAATAACCAAAGAGCACACACGTGTGGCATGGCATCACGGGCGTCATACAGGAAGGAAACAAAGGTCATTAAAGACACAGGAAAGAGGTTAGATTCCTGGGTGAAAAGACCTCGGTCCTTGGCTTCGCATGAGAAAGAATTCACGCTGACGCCTGGCGTGTGAGCCAAGTGGGTTTTTATAACGGACAGAAGAAGTTTCGGGTTTTACACAGCCCCCACAGGGCACTTCACCCCCACACGTGGAGACCTGAGGCCAAAGAAACCACAGCCGGGCCGAGAAGCGTTCAAGCAGACTACTTAAAATCAAGAATATCATAGGTCAGGGTTACATCCTTGCACCGTATTTATTCAATTTGTATATTAAGCAAATGGTCCAAGAAGCTGGCTCTAGAAAGCAGAACGTGGCAGCAGGATTAGAGAACGACTGGTTAACAGCCTGTGCTGTGAAGATGATACGGCCTTGCTGGAAGTGAGGAAGATATAAAGCACTTGCTGATGCAGATCCAAGACCGCAGCCTCCAGTATGGATTGAATCTCGATGTCATGGAAAATTCTAAATCCTCATCACTGGATCATGAGAAACAACATAAGCAACATGGTGATAAACGAAGAAAAGGTTCGAGTTTTCAACGATTTCGTTTTACTTTACTGCACAATCAGCATCCATGAAAGCAACAGTCAGGCCCAGTCAGATGCGCTGGGCCAATCTGCTGCCAAAGCCCTCGCTAAAACCCAGACCCGAACCCAAGCTTGCTGCCGCTGAGCCAGCCCAGCTCAGAGCGCCCGGAGGACTGAGCAGACCTCCTCCGAAGGGTTCCTAAGGCTGTATTGGTACAAGCACAGACTAGCACATCTTTCTCCTGCCAGCTCCCTGTCAGCGAACAACCACGTGCTTCACCACGGAGCCACCAGGGCTCCCCAAAGACCTCTTCAAAGTGTTAAAAAGGTGGACATGGTGCCTTGATGACCACAGTGCCCCTGGCCCAATCCATGGGATTGTCAACGGCCTCATCGGCATTCATCAGCTGGAAAATTTAAAAGGAAGAAGAATGGCTGCATTTGGATTACAGTGTGGGCACAGGATATTGAATATGCCACGGAGGGCCGGAGAATGAACACCTGTCTTGGGTGAAGTTCAGCCAGAAGCTCCTTGAGAGTGAAAATGGTGAGACTTTGTCTCCTGTGACCAGGAGAAACCAAAAACAGCCTAACTAACTTATTGCCGTTGAGTGAATGCTGACTCAGAGTGACCCTTCGTGGGTTTGCAAGCCTGTAAGTATTGACCGGGGCAGAAATCCTGGTCTTTCTCCCTCAGAGCTGCCAGTGGTTTCAAACTGCCGACCGTGCAGATCGTAGCCGAACACCTACCCACTATACCACCAGGGCTCCTGTTCCTGGAAAAGGGCAGCATGCTTAGTAGAGAGTCAGCCAAAGCGAAGACCACCCTCAGAAGATGGATTGGCACAGGGGCTGCGACAATGGGCTGGACCATCACAATTGTAGGGATGGCCCGGAACGGGGCAATGTTTTGTTCTGTTTGATACGTACGGTTCCTAATCGTTGCAACCAACTTGACAGCATTTAACAAACCAATCTCTTCCTACGTAATTTCATATTGATGCTTATTAGAAAAATCATATCTCTAAATACAGACAATATAAAGACCCAGCCAAAACCAAACCACCGCCATGGAGTTGACTCCGACTCACGGTAAGCTTCCATCGTGTCCCCAAGGTGGCATCTCTACGGGGCAGCAGGTTCCCCGTTCTCGTACAGAATGGCTGCTGGGTTTGAACTGCTGATCTGAGTCTAATATCTAATGAAAACAATACCGCCCACTTGAAACTCCCAGAAAATAGGGGAAAGATACCTTAGTAAGAAAAGGGATCTCCACTGGAGGGATTCCAACGATACTTCCTTCACTGGACAATGTCACAGACTATCTCTGTCATCATTGCTTGTGGCTGTTTTTTGTTTTTTACTGTATGTAATTGGTAGCTGATTGTACTAGGATTAAAAACAATAAACTTTCATGATAAAGCCAATGAGATTCATGGGCTATCCAGCAAAAAAAAAAAAAGAAAAGGGATCTCCCTGAACTTTCTAGTAAAGCCTTGACGTAAGCACCCTCGACACAAAAGATCAAATTCCACAGTTGGCACGAAGAGAGCAGAAAGCAATGACATCCTGAAGGTTCCACCAAGCTGTAGGGTCTCCTGCCTGAGCACCGAGTGACCAAAGTGCTGAAGCCTCCAGAAAGGTGAACCGTAGAAGAAGAAGACAGATAGAAAATGAATGACAGCATTCAGTCATCCTCATAAAGTAGCACTTTTTAAAAAACTAATCATTAAAATGTAGCTTCTTCACGGATAGTGGAGTTTCAATAGTCCAGGAGACTGCAGACTGTAGACAAAACCTGGTACGTTTGTGTATGTGTAGTTTTCTGAGATGTTAAAGCTTTACGGGAACAGACAGCCTCATCTTTCTCCCAAGGAATAGCAGGTGGGTTCAAACTGCTGCCCTTGGGGGTATCGGCTCATTGTGTAGCTCCCTGCACCAGCAGAGCAGTGCTTTTGTTTGTTTTATTAACCACAGGCTCTGATGAGACTTGAGCACAATTGAAAGGTTTACTCAACTGAACACCGTCAGAGCCAGGAAAAAGGCAGACTCCTGACTGTTTGCACGTCCTAGTCTCAAACATTGGTCGAAATGGAGACACAGCAGCATATATTAATCTAGTTAGTCAGACAATAAACACTGATTAAATGTCTCCGCCACAGCTGTTTCCCACAATATTTACAGTTAGCGGTAAGGATGGGATGAGAAAGGCATGGTTAGTGCTGGGACATAACGCCCAGACCTCTGGAGCTCAGAGGCCATCTGGACTTAGCTGAAGGGTTAATTAGGCCATCTAGTAATTGCCTGGTGTCACTGGTAAAATAAAATGTCATTCTGAGGTACTTTATTTTTCATAAACATAAGGAATCTAACTAGTGGTTCAGGGAGAGAGGAAGCAACCTGCAAATTCAGGGACCCTTTGATTAGGGTGAGCAAGATATTGTGGTAGGCAGAGAGAGACTCCAAAATGTATCTACACCTCTGACATGCAGGGATCAACGCTTCAACCCCGAGGGAGTTTTTCCTAGCCCATTGAAACAGCATTTTTAATGTTTCCACTCCACTTCTCTTTTTTCTCCCTGGCCACCCTCAAATGAATCGGGTCCCTACAGGAATATTTTCAGAGCTGATGATGGGGTCAAAGCAGCATATCTAGCTCCTTAAATTATTCTCACCTCCTTTTGGTAAATATCAACACATATAAAGTCATTTTCTTGAGATTCTTTAAGCTTCTAGGTTGGCCTTGTTTCTTATAGGATATAAAGGAGACTATGGAGCTGATACCAAGGACTCAAGTAGAAAGAAAATGTTTTGGAAATGATGATGGCAACATATGTACAGATGTGCTTGATACAGTGGATGTATGAATTGTTGTAAGAGCCTCCAATAAAATAATTTATTAAAATAAGTAAATAAAATAACTAACTCAAAGCATTAAATAATAAAAAATAAATTAAATTAAAATTTTTAACCAGAGAGAGAGAGACTATAGTGTTCCTTTACCCATTTAGACAGCAAATTCTCCTATTTTAAGCTGTTTTCAAAAATCTTTTGAAAACCACTAAACATATGCCTAAAACCTACAAATAGCAGAGATTTTGCTGGAGCAAATGAACTGCCAAAGAAGAGAAGAAACCTCAGGGACGTTTGAGACGAGACAAAGAGAAAAAAGTAAAAATATATAAACCTAAACCCAGACAATAATCTAGTCTGTCTTACCAGCGTTTGCAATGTAAAGACACTTATTTGAACATATGCTCATATATGAGGGACTTTAAAAGTTGGGAGAAAAAAATCAGTTATCTTTTCATACCAATTTTCCACACAAAAATTGGTGTTCCTTTTTTAGATCTCAGAAATTCAAGAAATTTGGGCGTTGGGGGGGGGGCCACAGTGTCAATATTTTCAAGAGATGTGAGATATCCCTCTGTAGTCATTGGTTATGATCTCACTGCGTATGTCCTTATATGGTAGTGTGAAGATACAGTGAACCCTCGTTTATCGCGGTTAATCGGTTCTAGACCCTACCGTGATAAATGAAATTCCGCGAAGTAGGATTCCTTATTTGTAAATCAAATATTTTCGTAGTTACAGCATAGAGGACATGAAAAAACACCCTTTAGTCACCATTACACTTGTATTACCCAATTTATTAAACAAAAAATGGAAAATACAGTAAAACATTTTGGACGTTACAATTATCATTTATAAGTGAAAGTAGCCGTAGCACGGATGTTTTTTTCCTCTTTACGGATGGAGCGAACGGAAGACTCATTCAAGTCGAAATGGCGTACAACCTCCACGATTTTCTTGCCATCTTTGATCATATCCAAAAGTTTTACCTTTTCCTGGATGGTGAGCATCTTCCTCTGGCGCTTATTTTTATTGTCAGAAGGCTTAGAAGAAGCAGCTCGTTTAGGAGCCATCATAGGGCTTAGATAAAATTTCTTAAAAATCGCAAACAATTACAGTACACTGTACAAAAGCAAAAATGCATCTGATACGTAGCTCCGATACATAGCGATGCAGACAGAAGCGTGTACAATATGAGCCAATCAGTGGCAGTAATGACAGAGCATGCGCTGTTACGCAAAAACCGCGATAGAGTAAAGCCGCGGAAGTCGAAGCGCGAAGTGGCAAGGGTTCACTGTATAGACAAGTACGTAAACATAAATGCTAAAGTATTATTGTACAACTGGTAGTTGTAGGATGTTATTGAGGCAACTGGAAGAAAGACATACCTAAATATTAACATCCAGATTGATGAATCACTGATATGTCAGAGGAGCCGTGATGCGTAGTGGAGTCCATGCTGGGCTGCGCTAACCACTGCGTTAGCCATTGGAAACCACCCAATGAGACTTCTTCCTCTGTGAAAAATTAATCTTCAAAACCCACAGAGACACCTCTACCCTGTTCTATGGGGTCAATACGAGTCAGAGTGAACTCCACGGCAGTGAGTTTGAGTTTATATACTAGGTTCTTTAGATGGTCCTTAAATGGGATGTATCATTTAAATTCCATAATGACCTTAAAGGAGTCGATATTATGGTAATTTAATTGTAGAGATGACGAAAGTAAGGCCCAGAGAGGTTAAGTAGTTAGACCAGACTCACATAGCTGGCGCACAGTGTTAAACTCCGGTGGTCGGACCTGGAAGCATATTCCCCTAACTCCCATACATGGGGCTGTGCATGCCTGCCATAGTGGCCGCCATGCCACCTCCGGTGATACCTGGTGGCCAGCAGTTCCCAGAAAATGTTCTCAGTGCTCACCAAGGACACTAAGCAATAAGGGGGACAGAGGCTTCCAAGAGCCTGCCCCCTGCGCCCTGATCCTCCTCCAGACCTCATGGTCTCATGTCACTCATAGTCCCCAGGAGGAGGGCTCACATGTTTCCTAGAAGAGATTCTACTTTCCACTTCCCTCAGGACTTATTTGTACAAGTTTGAGCAACCTGGAGTGCGAACACTCAGCCTCTCCTCTCCTCACAGCAGGGTCTGTCCATCTTCTCTGTCTTTGGACCTTCTGCTCACACTGGAAAACCACCAATGTTCCTCAGAGTGGACAACCCTGGACCAGGAGGAATATAGAATGGAGGGAATCCATTGATATGCTCAAGGGAGAAGACTGTACATTCTCCTTTTACCTCTTGTACTAGACCTCCCTTGGTCTCACTCTTCTGGGATCAGTCAAGTTAGGGCAGGAAATGAACTACCTGTCCTTGAGTACCGGTTGTTAGTGGCATACCTGAGTGTATCCTGTTACTATAGTTGCTTGGCTTAGGAGCCCCGTGGGATAGAAAACGCTTGCTGAACCGGGGGAGAAAAGCAAGGCTTACGGAGTGGAGCGGCTGTGATCGTAACGTAGGCTCCAGAGTCCCTCCCTCTCTCTCCACCTTAACAGATGGCGCCTAAACCACCCTTCAGCTTAGAACAAACAGATCTGTAACTGACTTTTACAATTACTGTGGAATGATATAAATGAAAGACATCCCTGGGAGCTTGAAAAGGCGCATTTTAAGATAAACACAGAAATATTTGGTACGGATTTGAGAAACGAGGTTTAAAATGTAACACATGCTAACATTTTGAGAGTGGTTCAGGTGTGGTTTAGAGAACATCGTGGTGATAACTCCGCTGCAGCTGGGCCTTAATAAGCAGGTCCAGAAGGCTCGAGGGCCATTTTAGAGAACCTGGTCCAGTTGCAAGACACTTTTTAAAACTGGCTTTGTGAGAGATCAGTCAACTTACTAAATTTCACTTCTACTCAAATGGCTTAAAGATGCAATTATCAATCAGCGATACCATATGGCAGCTCCACCCTCTGTATTTTATATTTTAATATCCAAACTCGCTACCAGTGAGTCAATGCTCACTCATAGCGACCCCCCATGGGTTCCTGAGACAGTAACTGTTGAGGTGAGTAAAGACCAGTCTTTCTCCTACAAAGCTGCTGGTGGTTTTCAGACCTTCCACCATGGGAATCACAGCCCAAAGCATAACCTCCATACCACCAGGGCTCCAAAAGAGCTATATTTTAATGTAGCTCCTTGATAATGATGCTATAAAATTTTTGCTAGGTCTTAGAAGTAAAATGAACTATAATGTACCTTTAGGATGGATAGAGTTTAAATGATAAACTGGATGATCAGGTATATTTGTTCAAAATTAATTTTTTCAAAAGTATGCCTATTTTAATCTGGGTTGACTAGAGGAACAAATTCATAGACACTCATATGTGTATAAGAAAGAGCTTTAAATACAAGAGCAATGGAATATTGAGAAAACATCCCAGCCCAGTCCAAATCAAGTCCATAAGTCCGATATTAGCCCATATGTCCAATACCAATCTATAAAGACCTCTTCAGACTCATGGAACACATGCAATGACGCCGAATGCAGAAAGATCTCAGGCCAGTGGGTGGAAAGTCTTGTGGATCCAGTGGCGGTAGAAGCATCTCAGCACTGGTGTGGATCTCCACGTGGCTTCTCCAGCTCTAGGGCTCTGACTGTATCTGTGTAGCTCCATCAGGCTGTGTGTCCCACCTCTAGCAAGCTAATTATCTCCTTAGCGCCTTCAAATGAGGTCATCAAGCTGCCACCTAATTAACAAGCTAAGCTCCACCCCTTCACTCTTAAGCCTCAAACTGACAAAGATTATGTAACTACCAAAGTTTCCAAAGTGAGTTAAGTGGTTGAAAAAAAAAAAATTTCAGTCCTTCCCAAATATTGTACAGATAGTATGATCGTTAATCATAGCCTTTAGGAGCTAGACAATATCTTAGCTATTTGGGGCATTTGCAGACATTGTATTCATTTATACACAAGTCGGGCAAAGTCCAGAGACCCAAAGTTTGTTATTAACAGAATGTGGGCTGGCCTCCACTTTTCCTGAAGCCGGTCCAACAACAGCGCTGTTGTTGTCTCTCAGTGGACCTGTCACCACAGTGCAGTCACAGGGGAGAGAAGGGCCCACACGCCAAGCCCTGCTTCCTCGCGGACACAGTGTGTGCCTCCCAGAGGGGAGAGACTTGCCCAGACTGGGTCCTGGAATTCGAAGCCAGGTCTGGTGTCACTTGATCCCAGGCTCCTCTCCCTGCCTCCAGGGCTATGCCAGAAGCGAAGTGCTGCATCTCCATTTTCCTTGATTGTTTTTTACTTGTTGGAAAATTCTTATCAATACAATTTATTACCCATGTAATTCCTTTTTCTTTTTTTTAAATAGCTGTTCCAGTTAAATCAGAGTTGGCAGTTGAAATTTTGGAGAAGGGGCAGGTCCGGTTTTGGATGCAGGCAGAGAAGTTGTCTGGCAATGCTAAAGTTAACTACATATTTAATGAGAAGGAAATCTTTGAAGGGCCGGTAGGTAGTACACTTTTTCGATTTTGTTTGAATGCATGATTGGATGATACCCTATTATAATACAGGTAAGTTGGGAAAACCACTAACAGTAGAGTTAATCATTCCCTCGGGTTAAAAAAACGTGGAAGGAACTACAGATGGATTCCATCCTTTTCTCCGAACAAAGACACTTCTGAAAATGAAGCCAGCGGCAGCTCTCAATCAGAGAAGCCCACAGAGGGTTTCTGAGGAGCCTCGTTTTTCTCCTGTTGACCTTGAAGTTAGCAGCGTGTCACCCACTACACCACCAGGGCTCCTTTGGAGAAGGAAAAGAGGTACTAATAAGAATGTAACAAAGTCAACAGTCATGAACCAAAAAAGCGAAGTGGTCTGTTATGTTCACCTTTGAAAACGGAGCTGCTCACCTGAGAAGGCCAAGGACCCAATATCCTTACCTGAACCAGCCGGGACCTGACACTGTTCTGAGCAAAGAGCCTCTACTGAACTAAAAAAAAAAGTAATAAATAGCTCCTGTATTGCTTTTCTGGTTAAAAAGAAGATATATACTTGTTTTCAAAGAGAAAAAAATGCAAATTCTTAAACATTTTGATATACATGTTAGTATACACATTTTTCTTTTTTTCTACTTTTGTGTGTCTGTCTGTTTTATAAAACCAAGCTAACCCTACTACCACAGAGTGGATTTTGATTCTTGGTGAATTCATTTTCAAAGGTGGACATAGCATACCAATAGCACAAAATAGTACTGCTCACTAAGGTTTCTGAGACCACATTCCCGTAGAGTGTCTGGTGGGTTGGAACCCCTGACCTTGAAGTTAACATTCAACCTGCTATTTTCCCAGGGATTTTTAGGTGAATATATGTGTGTGCCTAAGCATTTATATCTCAGTGTGTGTGTATACACACAAACACACACACATACATAAATACACACACATATACATTCATTTTGCTTTTAGTAGCAGGACTTGGTCTTTGATGCTCACACCAGCTCTCTTTGCATTTCATTGAAACTAGTTTTTCTAGAAAGCGCTGCTGCATCTGATCTGTATTTGTCCTCCTCACAAACCTCCCTTGGGCCAGGGTGGTACCAGCCACCAGTGACTCTGAAGACTGCCATTCGGTGGCTCTGGCACTGCCTCATGGGATTATAGTCGCAAATGTGAAACTGAAAGAGAGACAGGGGGTGTGGCTTGTGGCTATTAGGAGCAGCCCATTGAGCACCTTAGAAACATTTGAGGATTCCCGAATGAGGGAGAGATGACTGTGTAAGTAGCCGAAGAGTCTGCCTACCTCCATTTCTTTTCAACTCAAGTGTAAGTGCACTTGGAGCCAGCGGACGTCACTCATGCAGCCCCAGGGGGCCCTATCCTAACTATGTCTTTAAATGTGTTCCTCTGCTGCTATGATCACCATGGAGAAGGAGGAACAGCATTGCTGACAGCCCTCTCGGCCGCTCCAGCCATCAGAGCAGCCACTCATGTCCACGTGTGTGTAGACACACCACTCTTTACGTGTCCATATGTGCACACACACAGCACACCAAAGAGCTGTTTGTGTCGTGGCAATGGCCCCTACCCATACTATTCCGTTGGGTGACAATTACTGCCTTGGGCCAGACTCCCCCAAATAAAATCAGAAATAGAGATTCTTCAAGTGAAGTATTGAGGGAGTGATCTCGGGGGAGGGGAGTGAGGAAAGCACACATGTGAAGGACCCAGACAGGGAAGGATGGATCGAGGTTGGGAGGACAGACGGAGGCAAGGACGCTGAGCAGCAATGTGGTGTAAAAATGGCATGTTGGCAGCATCTTCTGACCTCCTCTACCTTCTCACGGGGCGGGAGGAGGGGGGGGCGGGGAATCATGAGTAGTGTCAACCACCAAGGCAAAAGTCAGACATGCCTCCCATCTGCAACCTTCCTCCCAACTCTGACCCCAGCCATCCCTCCCACAGCACTCTCCTCCTCTACTGGGTTACATAGCCTATTGCAAGGGCATAGAACTCAGACAATACACGCCGTCATGGGGTTTACTACAGAAGTGGCAGGTGACAATTCAGAATCAGAAGCAACTCAGCATACAGTTCTTCCCTTGGTGAGCCCTAAGCATCTCCCAGTGGGAGTTACAAAGCCCTTTACTCAAGGAGTCCTATTAAGAAATTCGCTCCACTGCGTGTGGTGTCAGGTGGGGACTGGCTTCAGCAGAGAGGCTCCGCAGCATGAACAGCACCACAGACGTGATCCGACACCTGAGCCGTCATTCTGTGATCTCTTATAGCAATGCCACCTTCATTCAAACCTGTTGTGGATTTTGTGCTTGTGTGCATAACAACCAGATTTATCTTTACTCTCAGGTGGGTGGGGAAGCTGTTCAAGCAATGTGATAAAATAAGTACAGAGCACTTTTAATTCATTAAGAGCAAATGGATTTCAAATGCTCTAGAAGTGTCTGTTATTTTCTTATGTCGTCAATATTTATTGATTGCCAATGATATGCCACCATGTACTAGATCCTGGGGACAGACCATGAAGAAAGTGCTGCCAAAAGTTTTACATCATTGGAAATCTAAAAGTAGCTACTAACAACACTTTATGCCTTGCAATAATAACATTTAATTTATATTTAAGAAATTAAATTTCAGACCTTTTAGTAATTCATTCTGGTTGCCCTCTAAGTAGTACATATATTCTACATAAAATTCCTTTTCCTTGGGAATAATGCTTGTCAAGACTTGCTCATCTTTAAAAACTGAAATCAGAAATGTTCTTAAAATTACAATTTTTTGAAGTGTACTTTTATCTCACTAGGCATATTGTTGTCAACATAAAGCATCTCTTTCACTAATGTCTCTATCTTTTCATTGTCCTTTGAAGAAATATAAGATGCATATTGACCGAAACACTGGTATCATTGAAATGTTCATGGAGAAGCTACAGGATGAGGATGAGGGGACGTACACGTTTCAGCTTCAAGATGGAAAAGCAACTGGCCACTCCACTCTGGTCCTCATTGGAGATGGTAAGAGCCCTGGGGATATGCACTGGCGCACTGTGCTCTGCTCTTCAAAGCAAATACTCCACGGCACCAAGTGGCTGTGTGAAACAAAACCTGAATTTGTAATTGACTTCCAATATTCAAAATGCAATTTCCAGTTTCTACTTTCCACAGAACCAAAGAAATGAAAATGATACCAAATTATTCCTGGCCCACAGGCAAGATTGCACTTAAATAATCTCTCATATAAATAAGCACTTATTACTAGAATCTTCCAGTGATTCCAGTGACAGTAATTCAACCACGACTATCTGTGTGTTTATGATACTGTTCTATGATACTGTTCTAACCTATGATACTGTTCTAAAGTGCATTCTTTGATACTGTTCTAAAGTGCAAGATACTGTTCTAACTATGATACTGTTCTAAACTATGATACTGTTCTATGATACTATGATACTGTTCTAACAAACTATGACACTGTTCTAAAGTGCATACTTTACAGACACACACACACATACACACAAGCAATGCATGCCAAAGCTATTAATCACACATTACAATAAGACTGTAGTAAATCTAAGGTGCCCTGGTGGCACTGGTAGGTAAGTGTTAGACTGCTAATCACAAGGTTGTTGGTTCAAACCCACCAGCTTCTCTAAGGGAGAAGGATGAGGCTGACTGCTCTGGGAAAGACTTACAACTTCGGAAACCCTGCAAAGGGTTGCTATGAATCAGAATCAACTAGATGGCAATCCTTGGTCTTTACTATAAGCCCTGTGGAAAACGACAAGATTTAAAATGTGTCATTTAACAGAACAATATAGGGGCTGGTCCGGGTTCTAGAACTGATACTATTCCGCCTGTTTCTATTTCACTGTTTTTAAGCTTCATGACCTTGCACAAGTTACTTCATCTTTTAAAATCTGTTTCTCACTCTATAAAGATTGAAAGCTAGTGGGGGGCCATCACAATGTGAAAGCATTCTAATAATGAATATAAATCACTTGGCACCGTGTGTGGCGTGTACATTTATGCTGCTCAGTTCAATTTCATCCTTCCTTGTGTCCAATTTCTAGTTTATAGAAAGCTCCAGAAAGAAGCTGAATTCCAGCGGCAAGAATGGATCAGGAAACAAGGTAAAATATAGGCAGTAGATAAAGAGAAAATCTGCAAGGTTTTTTTTAGATAAATAATCCAAGGTTATTTCTATAGCAAGTTAAAGATTGAAATAATATATATGGGCATATAAAAATAACTGGGCATATTCACATATTAATATTCATGTTTTCATTTTAAATGTTTTAACAACAAATTTAGAATTTTGTATTTTTAAATATCAAACAAAGTATATTTCAATTTAAAGGCAAATTTCAATTTTGCATGTGTGATGAATAGAGTGATGGTTGGTGTCGTTTCAAATTTTATAGGTCCACATTTTGCTGAGTATTTGAGCTGGGAAGTAACTGGGGAATGTAACGTACTATTGAAATGCAAGGTAAGCAATAGATAAATTTTTAATATTTGGTTCAAGTGAAATAAAGATAAAATAGAATGTGGAGAAAGGAGGATGAATTTTTCATTTTCCCCACTGTACCAGTATGATAAGCAACACATCCTTCCTGGTGAAAGCTACTGTAACATTAGTTGGTAAGAAATATTTAAAATAAAACATGAGAACATGGAAAGGCAGATGATCTGTTACCCATGTCCTCGTTAATAAGGACACAGAGTCTTTTAGTAACTATTAATCTCAGAAGGCTCTCACATTGTCTTTCTTCAAGTTAAATCTGTATTCTAAGTGAAAGATCAATGCCAGAACCATTCCAGCTACAATTTTCTGGGGTAGGTTTTAGTAGCCTCATACCTACTTGTGCTCACCAGAACCTTTGAGGGAACCACAGCTCTGATACTGGTTCTAAAACCAAGGTGCTGCCTTGATAAAGAAGCTGAATAAAGAGTTTGCCATTATAAGCTAGTGTGGTGAAGGCAGCTAATGGTACCCGACTATCAAAAGATACAGTGTCTGGGTCTTAAAGGCTTGAAGATAAAAAAGTGGCCATCTAGCTCAGAAGCAACAAAGCCCACATGGAAGAAGCCCACCAACCTGTGTGATCACGAAGTGCCAATGGGATCAGGTATCAGGCATCAGATAACCCAAAATAAACAGCCATGAACAAAGGGGGTCGGAATGGAGACCCAAAGCCCATCTGTAGACAATTGGACATCCCCTCACAGAAGGGTCACAAGAAAGAGATGAGCCAGTCAGGGTACAGTATAGCACTTACGAAACACACAGCATTCCTCTAGTTCTTTAATGCTTCCTCCAGTCCCACCCACCCCCAATATCATGACCCCCAAATCTGGCTAGACCAGAGCATGTACACTGGTGTGGATAAGAACTCTCAAACACACAGAAAGCAGGACAGATTAACCCCTCAGGACCAATGAGAGTAGCGATACCATGAGGGTAGTGGGAAGGTAGGGAGAGAAAGGGGGAACTGATCTCAATGATCGACGTACAACCCCCTGCCCCCAGGGGGACAAACAACAGAAACGCCGGTGAAGAGTGACGGTGAATAGTGTAAATTATGAAAATTATGAAAATAAAAATAATTTATAAATGAATGATGAAGAGTTCAGGAGGATGTGAAGGTGGGGGAAGGAGAGGGAAAAACAGGAGCTAATATCAAGGGCTCAAGTAGAAAAAAAGGTTTGGAAATGATGATGGCAACATATGTACAAATGTGCTTGATACGGTTGAAGTATAGATTGTTATGAGTTGTAAGAGCCCCCAATAAAATGATTTATTAAAATTTTTTAAAAGTTTACTATTCATAACCAATGGATTTATCAGGCCTTTGGAAAACTTTAGAGAAAAACATCTATTTAGCATTGTGTGTAAGGCTGGGTTGTCTAGAGAAACATACCAGTGCCACTCACATATGTATGTATAGGAAAGAGCTTTATATCAAGAAAGAATCTGATCTCAAGAAGGCATCCTGGCCGGGGCAAACTCGAGCCAATGGGGCCAGTGCTTGCCGGAGCCCTCTTCAGATGCACGTAGCTGCAGGCTGATGACAAAGAAAGGTGAAGCAGGGAACGGGGAGGGCACAAGCTGATGGGCACAGTCACTGGAAGCCAAGGTTGGGGGAAAGCTGGCAGGGTGCTGACAGCATTCAAGGATGGCCCGCCCATATGCAGCCACACCTGGAGGCAGGCACAGAGTCCCAGTAAAGTCCCAGTGAGGAGGAAGGCAAAGGGACAGAGAGAGAGAGAGGAGGGCCCCCCTGTGTCTCTCTTATAGAAAGGCAACATCCCCAAGGAGGAAGCATCAGGCTGTGACCTGATTGATAGGCTGGATTCCACCCCTTCCCAAGTGCACGTGGACGTAAAATCTGTTGCACATTCTAAACCATTTTGTACCTTAGCGCAGGGTTTTGCCATCAAAAATATTAGAAGAGGAACATTGGGGTGAGGCTGGAAGTTTGGGGTGATGGCCATTGGGGACTGAAAGACAGAAGCCTGGATTTAGTGGTATGGTATGCAACTCTCATTATAAAAACTCCCGATTCGACTTCTTGCTGACTGCTGGTGAGTCCTCTCCCAACTCAGGCACAATGGAATGCTGCCTGACCCTGTGTCATGTCCATGGTCAGTTGAGATCAGACCATTGTGATCACAGAGTTTTCACTGGCTTGACTTTGGGGGAGTAGATCATTCAAACCATTCTTCCTAGTCCATCATAATCTGTGAGCTCCCCTGAAATTCATTCAGCATTGTAGCAACCTTCAAGCTTTCATTGACAAATGGGTGGTGGTATGAGGTTCATGGGCTTGAAAACGAACCTCACCCTGAAGGCAGGAATTCTGCTACAGAACCAACATTGCTCTCCTAAATCCTTCCTAGATAGTATACATCCAAAGAGGCAGCACTCTATCAGAAATATATAAGAAAAATCAATTGTGGGCTTTAGCTTTCCAGAAACCATAGAATATGGGAATACATTCTTAATGCCCTATACAATATTAAAAACCTGCTCAGTCTTCCTCACAGCCTGGCAAAGGCTCTGGAGAAAAATCCTTCTTAGGCAACAGCTAAAAATCCTCACTCTCTCCCTCCGCATGCTGCTCACTGCCATGCTGTTCTTGCTCATTTCCTTGTCCACTGTCTCACCCAGGAAGTCTTCCCTCCCCCAGGAGCCCACACATATGCCCTCTCGCCATCTGCCCTACCTGTAGTAGCCCCCCTGACCCCCCACCCTGGGAAGTGCCCACTGGTGTCCCTTTCTCATGGCATCCTGTTCAGTCCTCGGAAGAAGCCGAGCAAACAAAAGGAGCTCCTGATCCGTTTGAAATATTCGAACATTATTTCTTTATGTTGTCCCAAGAAGGAATGTCCTTCTTTCTGCTTCTCTGACAAAATCCATCTTAGGACCCAACTCAACGGTATTCCCTCCCCCTCTGGGCCCAAGCAGAGTGAAACTCCCTTTGATTCCCCAGAGCGCTTTGTTGCATGAGTATAACAGCTATGCATGGCCTTATATTTGAATCTGAGCCATAAACCTTCAGACTCAACAAGACTGCCCATGGCCCCATTGCTACTAATCTTAGAGGAACATGGAGCAGACACCCTGACGCACCGGGAAGGAGCAGTGCACAGGACTCCTTCGGCCAGGAGTCCTTTCAGGGCTCAGCGAAGGAGTCCAAGTCAGGGAGTGTTTCTCCTCACCTGCCCCTCACATGACAACGGATGTGCAAAGAAATAAGATCCCTCTAAAGCAGGTCTGCGAAGCTCCACGGCTTTACAAATGTAATGCCCCAAGGACCCACCAGTGCCGGTAACAACTCCCTAGGCAGGGTTTCCAAAGTGATGGAGAGAGGAATAGCCGAACTACCGGAGTGGCTTCGCTCAAGGAAGCCCCAGGCTGTCGGTCCAGATAGAGCTCTGCGATGGAGGTCATTTTTCTCATGAATAACGTTGCCTAGTAACAGAGTCACATTCAGGAACCAATTTCCAGGGTTATAAAGAATGTTTGCATGTACAGGTTCACTCCACAATTGCTAGGGTCGTTCTTACATTAACTTATTAGCTGAAAAAGATTAGCATTTTAAAGCCAAGATATCCTTGTTTATAATGAGATTTAACATATCTTCCTCTCTGTTTTATAGTTATAGCTCCTCTTTAGGCACTGGTAGATACGTTTGTCCAGTTGTTCATGGGATCTTTGGAACTAGTTGTTTTTATATTACATATGTGAGGCTATTGGTTATTTATATCATCGTAATTGTGCTGGAAATACATGGTTCTATTCTTCTTTGAAAAACATCAGATTTGGAGGGGGGAAATGAGGAGCTGATATCAAGGGCTCAAGTAGAAAGTAAATGTTTTGAAAATGTTGTTGGCAACAAATGTACAAATGTGCTCGACACAGTGGATGGATAGATGGATGGATGGATGGATTGTGATAAGAACTGTATGAGCCCCCCATAAGATGATTTTTTTAAGTGGAAAAAAAGAGAAAAACATCAGATTTGGAAACATTTCAGATAAAGCTCAAGACCACTGACCACCTAGCGTCTTTCATGCCATTCAAAATGTGTTATGATTGATGTGCGGATATGGGCTTGAATGAGTTTCCTCAAAATTGCTAAGAATGAATTTACCAAATCATATATCTTCTTCACAATCAATTATATATAATGCTTCCTTTATCTTTTATTAAAATTTCAGATAGATTGGGGATTACTTGTTCTGTTCTTTTGGTGAAGCCATTTGTTTCAAACACAGGCTCTTTTGATCAGATGGAGTGTGCCGTCCTTTGTGCCTCAGATTTACTTTTAATCCGAGTGTGAATGTCAGTGTATGGGCACTTATCTATTCTTGCTTTTTGTCTCTACTGCTGGAAAGAGAGATGCTGTTGATGTAGGGTTATTCGTTCCCATCCACTTTATTCTAAACACTCTCCTCAATTAAAGTAGCTTTCAGCTGATTCCTTGAGACATCTTAACTTCTACTCCTTCTGCAGCTTGCTGAACTGAGAGCCGTCTGTTCTATATCAACAAGATCTTGTCTCAAGACAATAATTGTGTGTTTTTTTTCTTTTAGGTGGCAAATATTAAGAAGGAAACGCATGTTGTGTGGTACAAAGATGAGAGAGAGATATCAGTGGATGAGAAACATGATTTTAAGGATGGTATATGTACCCTGCTTATAACAGAGGTAGGTGATGTCAATGTGAAAATGTCGTATATTAGTTCTGCACCCTCCTTCTATTCTCTCAAAGAAGCATAGACTAGATCGCGTGTTCCTTTCTTGCTGGGGGACTCATGGTGCCTTACTTCTTGTTCCTGAGACCCCTGACCCTGCCATCTCCCGCCCGTCACCACCACTGAAACAAAACAAACAGAACTGTGGAGACGTTCGAGATGGTCTCTCTTTATGAAATAGGTAGATAGGACATATTGGCTAGGCATGAGTCCTGCCTTTCTTTTATATGGGTGGGTGGCAGGGCAGTTACATGACGCCTTCTCTGTTGGCAACTTAAACTTCATAATAACTTGATCCCTAAAGACACAAAGGCCATCAGCTACTGCATTCACTGAAGTACGGATTTTATCTACTTTCTGTCTAAACGAGCACAGCTTTCAAATATATGTGAACATTAAAAAAATTTTTTTGAACATTTGTTTTGAGAAATGAAGGCAAAGTAAAAGTTTAGGACTTTGAACCTCAAATGAATTAATTATAGCTTCAGTGGGTCATCTGTAAACAGAAATAAATCAATAAGTAATCAGTACTGCTCGCTACTCTATCCTGACCCAGGGCCAGCATCAGCTCCGTGGCCAGATGCTCATTCAAAATGGGTTTGGGGGTGGCTTCGTGAAGCACAGGGCTATAAGCATGCAACCATCATACCATGGGGCCCTGATCAGTTGCAATGTGGTTTATCTATTCTCTACTCAGTTTTCAAAGAAAGATGCTGGATTTTATGAAGTGATCCTGAAAGATGACCGAGGGAAAGATAAGAGCAGATTAAAGCTTGTGGATGAAGGTCAGCCCACCAACTGCTGAGCTCCGTTGTGCGTGTTCAGTGGGGGGGGG